TGATTGCTATAGTAAATATAAGTTTGCTTTATCGACAATCCCAACACAGAATGTGATATGGAAAATATATAAAATTCCTTGAAATTAACGTCTGCCCTGAGACCCAAGGACTTACACGTTGCACTGTCATGGTTCGACTCCCGCTGGAGGTGTTGATAAGACCTATGCGAGGTCGAAATTGCAGTCCACCTTGGGCGGGAATACCTTTTGGGAAAGCAAGGCTATATGAAATTCAATGGAATACATCAGTTCTACTCGTATCATTGTGGGAATAATCAACTGCCAGTCCTTCATCACCTTAGACGAAATAGGGTGAGCACAACTCATATGTCTGATTTAGTGGTAGTCTCGAAAACCTACACATTTATGATTATTTTCTTTTTTTTCATTTAAGATGAAAAGTTGATCCAGTAAACTATTAAGTTATCCATTGAAAACCAGCTATTCTTCGAGGATAAAGTCTTCCAAAAACCGTGTCTACATAACTTTCTTTGAGCCACAGCAGCAAAAAGATTGTCCTGACCGACTGCAAATCGATGACGTGTCTCTGGGTTGCGCCTCTTTTGCATGTCTCCAGTCTCAGCACGCCGTATCACAGGTCCAGTTACCAACATCTCCGCCTGTGAACTTTCCCCACCCTCTTTCCTATGGATACAGGCATAATCTTTATTACCAATACATAGGTATGTTCCACTTTCATGTCTGTGCAGCCTCTGCCCTACCTTCTGTGGTCTTTATGTCCTTGCTATCTTGCCCGGGTCGGTCTTTCTGTACCACAAAACCGGAAGACAGATCACACCACCAGCCTGGATGCATTGTCCTGTAGGCATTGAGAAGCCTTTCCGACTGGTATTCCCAGAGCGGCTCAGATACCCGGACGCCTCCTTCCTTTCTTCGCTTCTTGTCAAAACTGAGGTAGTGACTTTATTGACGGCTTAGCCACAACCTTAAGTTATCAGCATCACTACATTAACTCTATGGCCAATAAACGGACAAGTAAATTCTCTAAACTCTTTGCCATGCCCCTTCGTCTGCGTGTGTGCATCCATGTGGTGTAAGGGTATGTGTGTGTGTGCATTTGTGTTCGCCGGCGCTTGGACAGTCGAAGAGACGCGGCAGACGAACAGATAAGATTTTCAGCATTTCGAGTGCAGATTGCCGTCTCCAAGTGGCATGTCAGATAACAATTGGGAAGAAGTCGAGATATCACAGTTAAAAGACGAAGTCTAGGTTAGGCAGTCAGTGAGAAGAATAGTGGGCGGAGAAGTGGGTGGAGATGGAAGGGGAGGTGGAGGTGGAGGAGGGGGAGATGGAGAGGGTGGAACAGAAGTTGGAGGAGGAGTAGGAGAAGAAAAAGGAACAGGAAGATTAGGAGGAAGTGGAGGGGGAGGAAGAGCAATAGGGGTAAAGGAACGAGGAAGGAAGGGGTGAGTCGTGCACGGGCAGATGATGGTGTTTATACGTCAGTATGACGACAGGTTGGGGATGTAGTAAAGAGCCCTAGCGTCAGACTGCAAGTATTTTGTAAGGTGGAAGCATACTTTTTGACGGCCCCTTAGACGACACTCCGACATTTCAGCCATTTTATGGTGACAACCTGGCTTCCAAGGAGACTTTAACGGGCCAACTTTTCTCGATTGAAAATGTAAAGACGAAAACTCGTGTCAAGAGAAGGTGGGTCTGTGATTGGGGCTGCACGAAAGACAGCCTCAGTGAATTGTGTATTGTGGGTCAGTGTGTTGTCACTTCAATCGAGACACCGACACTCGAGGAGAGAGTAGATGCAGAGGAGGCAGTAGACTTTAGCGTCAGCAAGTCATCTACAATCCTCAATTGTGCCCTTGATCCGTGAATGAGCTGGCAGAATTGGTTATTTGGTGATTTTATACGAAGAAAAGTTGGGTTTCGAGGAATCTCTTGCTTCATAATTGTTGAGCTTACTTCCATTTCGAGTGGAAGTGTTTGGTGAAGAGATTCAAAAGTCGGTTCCATCAGAAGACGACGGTGGATTCCTTTTGACCTGTTGTCGATTGGCTTTACTGGAAGATTCATGCTGACGCTGTTTCCGAGGCAATCTCCTTCGAT